ATATATCGCAGTTTTGATGTCAGATGACTCTTTTCTTTGGATTCTATTGAAATTGAAATTGCGGATTTTGGGCCTTCCTTCCGAAGGTCGTTTTTAAATCAGACGATGCGGGCTCTGTCTAAGATTTCAAATTTATTTGATTATCATCGGTCATCCCAAAAGTTGATGCTGCTGACTCTGTTACCTAGAAGCTAACTACGAGGGGAGAAGGTTGCAATAAAAACTTATTTTTCGTAGGCGCCCAATATAACAAACTTATTATTTTTCCTCAAAAAATAATAAAATAAAAACTTATTTTTCATACGTCAGAATGATGTGGAAGAAGGTTGCAACCAGCATAGGCGCCTAGAAGCATATGTTTTTTTTTGGTTTTTTTTTAAATTTTATAATATATTTATAATAGTACAAGAGATAGTCTAAACTAGAGGGAAGGGAGATTTCTCACACACACATACAAATGATGCAAGTCAATGCCCATTTCTACTAGGCTTATCCCTTGGCGCCTATAAGTAGATCTTGGTTAGGGGTACTAATACCTAGAAGCACATGTCCATTAGTCCAGTTGAGCAGGGCAGAGAGTTCGCCCCTTTGCACTCAAGTTCGAATCTTAACTCTATAAGTTAGATTAATTTAAAGTAATTTAGGGGTGTATTCAATTAGGATCCTAGAGCGTTTGAAAAGATTTTAAAAATTCCGGTGTACTCAATTTGGATTTATACCATCGATTATACAAAAAGCTAACTAGGAGGGAGGATCCCAGCATAGGAGCCTAATAAAACAAACTTTTTTTTTTCATATATTAATTAATTATAGAAGATATATAGAAGATTTTGATGTGTCACAATGATGTTGAAGAAGGTTGCAACCAGCATAGGCGTCTAGAAGCATATGTGGGTTAGGTTAGTTGATCAGGACAGTGAATTCGTCCCCTTTGCACTCAAGTTCAAATTCCATCTCTATAATTTAGAGTAATTTAGAGTAATTTAGACTATCGATTGTACAAAAATCTAACTAGAGGGAGGATCCCAGCATAGGCCCCTAATAAACAAGCTTTTTTTTTTTTCATATATTAATAAATTATAGAAGATATATAGAAGATTTTGATGCGTCAAAATGATGCTGTACACAGAAGAAGGTTGCAACCAGCCAACCAAACCACAAGAGCAACAAGCGTGAAGAATAAAAGGCTCTCTCCACTAGGGAAGCAAAGTGAGATGGATTGGTCCCATCTACAGTAAGCGGCTTAGGTAGAGAAGGTTGCCCTAGCGTCATAGCATGTGATCGCCCACTATATATACCTACTAACAAATGCGGCACAGCTTGTGTCATTGAAGCTTTAATTAGATATAAATTGGAGCTTCTCTCAATGAGGTCTTCGATCTGAAGAACATGGGACGGCAATGATCCTCATATGCATTGTAAACCATTACATTGGGTCACTAGGTTTCATCATTGTTGGTGGTAGATCTGCCAGCACTCAGCTAATAAACATTATACTTTAGCTTTAAAATCACATCAAAGTATATACACCGACAAAAATTGTCAAACAAAATTTCATGGAATAATCTATAGGAGTAGGGTTAGGAACACCAAATCTTTTCACCAAAAAACGAGGCAATGTTTGAATCCACTTCACATTATCTAGCGAATTTCTAATTAATTAATTTTGTCACCGGATTCTAGCCCAGTGAAAAATGGCCTTGATTTGAAGACTAGTGGTGTAAGGTTCGAAACGCCATGGTCATGGCACCTTGGTAGTGTGTGTGAGAAATCCCCCTCTCCATATAGTTTAAACTATAACGTTTGTTTTAAAATAAAATAAAAACACACATATCTGGCGAATGGATTTGGTGACCTTAGTATTATTGCATGAAATATTGATAGTCTGAAAATTAAACGAATGGGAACGTGGCCCCAGCTCAAAACCTAGAACGAATAGTCGACACTCATACTATTTTTTTGATCTACAGTGATCCCCACAACGATAAAATGCAAGCTGTTGAGATTTTTTTCTTCACTTTTCCCTCAATGAAAGTCGTATGCTAGTCAGTGCTGGTAGGGTTTTCTAACTTCCCAAAAGAATGCTTTCTTTGTTTCTTTCTATGGTATCCTAAGATTGGACGTCGCATCGAAAAATGGCATGTACATGGTCATCATGTAAAAGTAATAACAATCGCTTCATGCTGCTCGTTGCTTGGTTGAACGGTGACCAAACGATGAAGACGTGTGAGGGAGGGGGGACGAAATCATTACAGGCACTTGGGAAGGTGGTGGCTAGCCAGCTTGTGCACTGACATAATGGCATTCATATAAATCTGAATCTTTCATCACTTTTAGCTTCAGCTCTTTATAATTGATCACCTTTTGGAACTTCTAGAATAAAACTAGCTAGGAGGCCATTTCAAGGTCCGCAGTGTTTGAATGATTAACATGCATATACATAATAATCAATCAACTGCTAAGATAATACTTAATTTAACCCACTCCACATTTATGATATAATGGTTTCATAGAGGCTTAAATAAATGGTTCAGATTATGGACTAGAATGTAAAGTGTGACCCGAACCCCTCATTATTTTTTTGAATACAATCGATAGTTTAAATTACTCTAAATTATTCTAATCTACAGAGGAAGGGACTCAAACTTGGATGCAATCCGACGGGCTCACGGCCCATGCCAACTAGCCTAACCTACATATGCATGCTCATTTTTAATAAAGTTATTTTGGGGTCCTGCCAATGAAGCAATTGTGATGAAGATTGAGAGTGAGTTAATGGGGGAGTGTTTTTATGGATTAAGTACATTGGCTTTATTTTTCTAGATACATATGCACAAATGTAAGGGCAAGATGTAAGTAATTTATAAAATAATTATGGTCATTAAATAAGCATGTAGAACCATAGGCATCGAATTATTTGATTACCTCGCTACTATAGAAGTCTTATGATGATCCAAACCATCTATTTTTTAGGTCTTCATTCATAGATCATCCTTGTAAAAAATTAGACAAATCGGAAACTATTTTGACATCCAATTGTGTCCTACAAAATCAATGAACATGGAACTTCAAGAAAGTACTTAAATTTCAATAATTCAATTGAGTGGTCAAATAATATCGGATTCAAGGGATTTTTTTTAGAATGATTTTTGAATGAGTATCTACAAAATAGACAGTTTGAATTAGTGAAATACAATACGAAGTGGGCCCTATAAGGGTGTCCCTCAAAAAAGTATATTTGACGGATCTTTCAACTAAAGCTCCCTATATTTATATCAAGTGTAATTGGAAGATTTAAATAAGTGATAGGTCACAGTGGGAGTAGGGACCTCCCAATTAACTACATTTTAATGTAAATCCTGTCGCATAATCTATAGTCCATAACCATATCCTATATAACGAAGTAAAGACAAGGTACATCAAGCCCATATATAAAAATATAACAGGCTAAATGGTCAACTCTAAGTGCAATTACTTTTCCAATCACTTCAGTTTTTCACAAATACAAAATATAATATTTGTACTGCACCCGAGTTCCTATGTTCGAATCTCCCATCTCCTAATATCACCTATATCAAGAGTATAACTAAAATACATCAAGCCCATAACGAGGACAATATAACATAATAGACGGTTTGGATTAGTAAAATACAATACGAAGTGGGCCCTATAAGGGTGTCCCTCGAAAAAGTATATTTGACGGATCTCTCAACTAAAGCCCCATATATATATATATATATATATATCAAGTGTAATTGGAAGGTTTAAATAAGTGATAGGTCACAGTGGGAGTAGGGACCTCCCAATTAACTACAATGGTATATTTATACGTGCAGGTCCATTTTAATGTAAATCCTGTCGCATAATCTATAGTCCATAACCATATCCTATATAACGAAGTAAAGATAAGGTACATCAAGCCCATATATAAAAATATTACAGGCTAAATGGTCAACTCTAAGTGCAATCCAATCACTTCAGTTTTTCACAAATACAAAATATAATAATTGTACTGCACCTGAGTTCCTATGTTCGAATCTCTCATCTCCTAATTAATATCACCTATATCAAAAGTATAACTAAAACACATCAAGCCCATAATGAGGACAATATAACAGACGAACCGATTAATTAACTCTAAACCCAAAATAGCATTACAGTTAGTTTGGTTTTAACAAACATAAAACGTAAAAGATTACGACCTTATATTGTTACCAAGGTAATATGATTGAAGCATGCATTTTATATTGTTCCCTTACTAGTAATAGAATCGTGTTTTCTGGTCAGAAATTATGGTATGTTTTAGGATTTCCGTTATAGAAGAGAAAAAGCTTTAGATTCAATTTGCAATGTTTTTTTTTTCTTTCAGTTCCCTTTTCCTCTATGTTTTCTCTTCTAACCTGCTCGATCTGTCTTTTTCCCATCAATGTATAGCCTTATAGGTCACCAAGAAGCAAATCTAAATGCCGATCGAGAATGAAAATGTAGCTTCTCATTATCTACTAATTATTCCTTTTAAAATCCGTATCCACTAATACTTTGAAAGAAGAATAAAAACAGCATGACGACCAAACACAAGTTCTCCTACTTTCTATATCTTACAAGAAATGAACATTAACATATCATCATCCCCATGGATAAATTTCTTTTAGCATTCAACCACTTTTTTTGGCGAACATTAGTAATCCATTATTTGAATATATATATATATGGCTTGCTTTTTCTTTTTAATAAAAAATAACGCATAAAAAATTTGAGTGACACTTATAGCCAACTTTATGCCATATTTGATGAGTTTAATATGCCATATAACAACACATAGCTAAATAGCTTAACAAAATGGCTTGATTGCGTAACGATATCATATCAATGTATGTGGGAGACAGCAAAAACACACTAGTGGATATGTACACTAGTGTAGTAAGTGAGTGTATAGTTTTTACTGGACCACCTTCTTTGGAACACCTCAAATTCTCTTCTGCATGTGCTTCAACCACCTTGTGCTCGGTCCACCTTTTCCCATTCCTATATATACCTTCATCTCTCTTGCATTCTACTCCATTGTCGTGGATTCAACTGCATTACTTCAATGACTATTCAAAACACTCACAGTTTTGTCTTCTTTGTGTTATTGGGTATAGGGATATGTTCTGCAGCCAGAACACTCCTACATTATGAAGAGCCCGTCCATGTTCCTGCTGTCGGCTATGGCACAGGCCATGGTGGCGGTGGCGGTGGCGGTGGTGGATCAGGGTATGGAGGTGGTGGTGCTGGGGGATATGGTGGCGGAGGAGGTGCAGGAAGTGGTGGAGGTTATGGAGCTGTAGGAGAACATGGTGGTGCTGGCTATGGAGGTGGTAGTGGTGGTGGAGAAGGCGGTGGCGTTGCCTATGGAGGTGCTGGTGGACATGGTGGTGGCGGCGGCGGTGGTACTGGTGGTGGAGAAGGCGGTGGTGTTGCCTATGGAGGTGCTGGTGGACATGGTGGTGGTGGCGGCAGTGGTAGTGGTGGTGGAGAAGGCGGTGGAGGTGCTGGTGGATATGGTGGTGGTGGTGGCGGTGGTAGTGGTGGCGGTGGTGCTTATGGCGGTGGAGGTGCTTATGGTGCAGGGGGTGCTGGAGGATATGGAAGTGGGGGTGGTGAAGGAGGTGGTGCCGGCTATGGTGCTGGTGGGGAACATGGAGTGGGCGGTGGTGGAGGTGGTGGTACTGGTGGTGGTGGTGGCTCTGGATATGCTGGAGAGCATGGTAGTGGTTATGGAGGTGGAGCAGGTGGTGGAGCCGGTGGTGGCTATGGTGCTGGTGGTGAACATGGCGGAGGCTATGGAGGAGGTGGCGGACATGGTGGGGGTGCCGGAGGAGGTTATGCTGCTGGAGGAGCAAGTGGAGGAGGATATGGTAGTGGGGGAGGAGCTGGTGGTGGAGCTGGAGGTGGAGCTAGTGGTGGCTATGCGGGTGGTGCTGGTGGAGGAGGAGGTTCTGGTGGTGGCAGCGGCTATGGAGGAGCACATGGAGGTGCATACGGAGGAGGTGGTGGGGCCGGTGAAGGCGGTGGCCATGGGGGTTATGTTCCTTGAGATTCCCCTTACTACTTGTTTGTCACTAAAAGCTTTACCTCTTCTTACCTATATTAAATTATTAATAGTATTAAAAAGGGAAAAAAAAAATAAGATAAATGTGGGTATAAGAGGATTATTATAATTTTGAGTATATGAAGAATCCCAATTGTATGCTCCCAAAGATTGTATCTATTGATGATTAATATGGATTCTTGTTCTTCATGATATATTTATAAATGTTACGTACCAAAGAGAATTCTAGAAGTGCTGCGGGCATTCGAATGACAATGATTGAATTCTAGAAGTGCAACCAAAGAGAGACTAAAACAAAAACGAAAACAAAAAAAGAGAGGAAAAAAAAGAAAGAAAAGAAAGCTTGGTAAACCATTGAATTGAAAGAAAAAAAAATCATAATACCAAAGCGTAACAGTTCAATGTTTACCATTATTTTCTTGTGGATTTTGTGGGTTGAGAGAGGTGATCCGTGCTAATGCTAGTAATGACTTTGAATTGAGTCAGAGAGCCTAACAATTATCTTTCTACTGTCACCTACAAAATTGGCCTTTTTCTGTGGCTATCTGTTCCTCGTGGAGAAAAAGAAATGATAGTGTTTTTAGGGTTGACAGCAACCCTCTCCAATTAAACTATCAAATGCAAGTTGGTAGCCGCAAATCCCAAGCCTTCTCTCCTTCTAAACCTTTTTTGGAGTGGAGACAGCCTGATGTAGATTGATGTTTCTTTATTTCTTTGTTTGGCCGGCCTGCATGGCTCCTTGACTTTGCTTTGTTTTGGCCTTACTGTGACCTGATTCTTGTTTCTTCTTGGGCGGTCTTTTTTTTTTTTTTTTTTTTTAAATTTCAGGCTTCTTAGATTTAGGTCCAAAACGATTAGTTGTCATTAGGCTAAGTCCTCGTCGTTTTGGTTTTAGATGCATGTCCTTTGACTTTAATTGCTTTTTTTTGTTATGTCGATTTTACCCTTTGAGGTAAATAAGGAAACACATTGACAATCCAAATTTAATGCATTATTTCATTGTAATTGAATTTCATAATTTAAAATTTGAATTCTTTCCTTGTGAACATTTACCTAATATATGTATAAAATACAATTTAATCAATAAATGTAAAGACCCACATATTATACTAATCGATGAGGCAAGCACCTACATGAAATTATATACCTATGCATCAGATAAACACCCAAATATTGAAAACACAATATGTTAACTACTTATCAAGTTGATTCGTGGTGTTTAAGAGCATAGCATAGCAACAAATAAAAAAACTTGAGAAAAACAATATAAACAAGAGAACTATTGATGACGTTTTTATGTACCTAATATATAGGTACTATGAGCTCATGTGCTTTATTTTAATATATGTATATATAGGTAGAATTTTCTAATGTACCTGGTTACTAGGTAATATAAGATTATGTATCCAATTACTAGGTAAATGTGAGATTATGAACATAACTTACTAGGTAAATATAGGATTGTACCTGATTATTGGGAAACTATGAGATAATATATAATCTACCTGACATATATGTATTTTGTTATTTTCAATATACCTTTTTTTTGGTTTCTTCAATTTACCTAATAAAGAGGTCGTAAACAATAAGAAAAGAAAGCCAAAGATTTTTTTGGGTTAAAAGAAGGAAAAACAAAGACAACGTTAATATACAAAATCTAGATGCAATTAATAGAATTCATGGATGCAATTAAAAGAAGAAGAAAAAAAAGGCAACATAATTAATATACCAAAATCATTATGGTCATAAGCACTTAATTTGTTATTAATTATGGTCATAAACAGTTCTTTCCCGTAATTATCACATAAATTACAGTTATCCGATTCAAGGCATAAGGGGCAACATTGGAACAAAAAATGATTTTAAAAAATAAAGACAAAAAGATTACATCAAAAAATATTTAAAAAGGAATGTAATCCTATGTGGCACAAAGTTAAAGGACTTGTATCAAAGTCACCAACTTCGAGGATTAAAACCAACTTCTCAATTGGAATTTGGATCTATATAAACCTTTTTTTTTTTTTTGGTTTTTTGTTGAAAAGAAACAGAAAAAGTAAATTTGACTTTAGAAAAACTAAAAGAAAAAGAAAAAAAGGACTGGTAGAAATACGAAGTGTTGTTTTATTGTCACAGTAAAGTTTGCTGAAAACTTGATGAATTATACCAAGAGTGCTACTATTTTCACCCACATGTCCTATTTTCCCACCCACTTTATCTTCAAAATTTTAAAGACAAATTTATCCATTTGTAAAATAACTTCTAAGGACTTATGAAAAAACCTTAACCTAGCCAAAAAAAAGAAGAAACTTTTCTCCTCAACTCAACCCCAAAACCCCTCAACTCATTTTCGATCACATCATCATTTTCTCTTTCTTTTGGATTGAATCTCACAGATGAAGCATTAGAATTCTATTTGGGCAGTCCTCCTCCTACTCATATTACTCATCGCCAGCTCCGTCAGCTCAAACGGTGGCGTTTCGAGCTCAGAGAGCATGGAGTTGCATATTATAAGTGATTATTATAACGTTTTGAACTCAGAGTGCAAGGAGTTGCAGCTTCTGGTTTTGCATCAGAAACCAAACAATGACGTTTTAAATTGGGAGAGCAGGGAGTTCCAGCCACTAGGTTCACATCAGAATCAACTCAAAGTCTTCTCTCGCTCTCACTCTCACACCTGAAGACTTCATTCCCATACACTGTCAATTCCTTTTTTTTAATTTAAATTTTAATAAATTGGTATTCAATTAATATTTTAAAGAGATATTTAGTATACCCATTATAAGCACTAATGATATAGATAAACCCTACGCCATTTAATTCATGTAAACAAATTCAAAAAATGACAGTTGGCCTTGTTGAATTTAATTTTGATTATTAAATTACTTTGATGCCTATTGAGTGTTTTGGGTTTTTTTATGAGGTCTTGGGGTTGGGCTTGTTTTAAGAAATAATGGCAGTTTTGTAATTTATAAGAAGTTAAAAGTCTCTTTGTTATGTTGTAAATGGGCTTTGGGTGTGTTTTCAAAGTCCATTTCATATAGGTTTTTTAAAATAATTTTGGCCCCTATATTGGGTATAATAGTAAATCTCCCTATTTTAAATTGCATTAAATTGGTATTCAAAGCTTCTGGTTCACAAAATAGTCCATGCCTTCATCGATTGTGATGATGACTGGAACTTGTATCTGCACATAAGGCAATTTTGTCGAATGGTTTGTCATAAAAATGCCATTGTGTTTGTTGTTCCATTTTTTCTTATGATAATAATTAAAGGGTATTTTAGAAATAATGGTGAGTGAAAAAATATGATTGTGTTTTTTCAAATTTACATGGTGGGTGGGAAGATAAGGTGGATGAGGAAAAAGGACAGGTGGGTGGAAATAGTAGCACTCATACCAAGATATCACGTAGAAGATAATGGCACCATTGAAGTTCACAAGTAAAAGTCATGATTGTATATTCGATTACAATTCCACAAAGTTTTTTAAATACTAAACTCAAAATCCTAAATAAAGGTTCCAAAATATTCCTAAACTTTACTAATATAATGGATTTTACTATTCGGTTTATTAATTTGATCATGGGATGTGTTATATTTGTATTTTACGGCACGACACACACGGACAAATACATATGATTACTGTGCTAAGAAAAATTATTATTATTTTCACCAAATGGCCAGGTAATATTTGGATACACAATAACAAGATAAATAATTGTCACTAAACAAACGAGTAAATAGTTGACATAAACTGACACATTATTTGGTGAACGAATTAAAGGAAACGCAACAGGCACCAGGCTCAACATCAAACCTAGAACGCATAGTCCACTCTTACTATTTTGCCTGATAGTGCCAACAACAATAGAATGCAAGCTATTGAGTGTTTTTTGTGTCATTCTTTGGATTGCTAAAATTGAACGTTACATCTAAAGAATTTTCTAAACCAAAAGACATATATATATATATATATATATATATATGTGTGTGTGTGTGTGAGGAGAGGAGGAGAGACGAATCATAACAGGCACTTGGGAAGGTGGCATTATGGCATTCTCATTCTTAAACATGACTTTACATAATAATGAATCAACTGCTAATTAAGATAATACTTAATTTAACCCACTCCACATATATACATATAATGCTAATTAAGTCAATGATTCGGATTATGGATGATGGTGATTATCTAAAAATTAAATTAGCATGCAGCTTCTTATTATCTATATTAATTGTTTCACGTAAATTCGTACCCACTAATAATTTGAAAGAACCGTAAAAATAGTCTGAAACCAACACGTTGTAGCAAGACTACCAAACACAAGCTCTCCTCTATTTCTATATATGATTTGTTCTAGCATTCAGCCACTTTTTTTGAAACACCTCAAATTCTCTTCTGCATGTGCTTCAACCACCCTTTCCCACTCCTATATATACCTTCACCTCTCTTGCATTCTACTCCATTGTTGTGGATTCAACGACATTATTTCAATGACTACTCAAAACACTCATAGTTTTGTCTTCTTTATGTTATTAGGTATAGGGATATGTTCTGCAGCCAGAACAATCCTACACTATAAAGAGCCTGCCCATGCTCCTACTGTCAGCTATGGTGCAGGCTATGTCGTCGGTGGTGATGGTGGATCGGGGTATAGAGTTAGTGGTGCTACAAGTTATGGTGGTGTTTGGGGATATGGTGGCGTAGGAGGTGCAGGAAGTGGTGGGGGTTATGGAGTGATAGGAGAACATGGCGCTCCTAGCTATGGAGGTGGTAGTGGTGGTGGAAAAGGCGGTGGCGTTGCCTATGGAGGTGCTAGTGGACATGGTGGCGGTGGCGGTGGTAGTGGTGCTGCAAGACATGGAAGTGGGAGTGGTGAAGAAGGTGGTGCCAGTCATGGTGTTGGTGGTGAACATGGAGCGAGCGGCGATGGTCGAGGTACTGGCAGTGGCAGTGGCGGTGGCTTTGGATATGCTGGAAAGCATGGCAGTGGTTACAGAGGTGGAAAAGGTGGTGGTGCCGGTGGCAGTCAGGGTGCTGGTGGCAAACATGATAAAGGCCATGGAGGAGGAGGCGGACATGGTGCTGGTGCCGGAGGAGGCAACGGACATGGTGTTGGTGCCGAAGGAGGTTATGTTGTTGGAGGAGCTGGAGGTGGAGCTAGTGGTGGCTATGTAGGTGGTGCAGGAGGAGGTGGCGAACATGGTGGTGGTGCTGGAGGAGGCAGCGGACATAGTGTTGGTGGCAAACATGGTGCTGGTGCCATTGAAGGCGGCGAACAAGGTGGTGGTGCCGGTGGCAAACATGGTGCTAGTGGAAAACATGGCGAAGGCAATGGAGGAGGCAGTGGACATGGTGGTGCTGCCGGAGGAGGTTATGTTGCTGGAGGAGCAAGTGGTGGAGGAGCTAGAGGTGAAGCTAGTGGTGGCTATGCAGGTGGTGTAAAAGGAGGCGGCGGAGATGGTGATGGTGCCGGAGGAGGCGGCGGACATGCTGATGGTGGCAAACATGGTACTGGTGCCATTGGAAGCGATGAACATAATAGTAGTGCCAATGGCAAACATGGTGCTGGTGGCGAACATGGTGTTGGTGCCATTGGAGGCGGCAAACATGGTGGTGGTGTCGGTGGTAAACATGGTGCTAGTGGAAAACATGGCAAAGGCCATGGAGGAGGCGGCGGACATGGTGGTGGTGCCGAAGGAGGCGACGCACATGGTGTTGGTGGCAAACATGGTGCTAGTGCCATTGGAAGCAACAAACATGGTGGTGGTACTGATGGCAAACATGGTGTTGGTGGCAAACATGGTGCTGGTGCCATTGGAGGCGGCGAACATAGTGGTGGTGCCGGTGGCAAACATGGTGCTAGTGGAAAACATGGCGAGGGCTATGGAGGAGGTGGACATGGTGGTGGTGTCGGAGGAGGTTATGCTGTTGGAGGAGCAAGTGGTGGAGGAGCTGGAGGTGGAGCTAGTGGTGGCCATGCAGGCGGTGCAGGAGGAGGCGGCGGACATGGTGGTGGTGCCGGAGGAGGTGACGCATATGGTGCTGGTGGCAAACATAGTGCTAGTGCCATTGGAAGCGACAAACATGGTGGTGGTGCCGATGGCAAACATGGTGCTGGTGCCATTGGAGGTGGCGAACATGGTGCTGGTGCCGATGGCAAACATGGTGCTAGTGGAAAACATGGCGAAGGCTATAGAGGAGGCGGCAGACATGGTGGTGGTGCCGGAGGAGGTTATGCTGCTGGAGGAGTAAGTGGTGGAGGAGCTGGAGGTGGAGCTAGTGGTGGCTATGCAGGTGGTGCAGGAGGAGGCGGCGGACATGGTGGTGGTGCTAGAGGAGGTGACGGACATGGTGGTGCCGATGGCAAACATGGTGCTGGTGTCATTGGAGGCGGTGAACATGGTGGTGGTGCCGATGGCAAACAAGGTGCTGGTGGAAAACATGGCAAAGGCTATGGAGGAGGCGGCGGACATGGTGGTGGTGCCGGAGGAGGTTATGCTGTTGGAGGAGCAAGTGGTGGAGGAGTTGGAGGTGGAGCCAGTGGAGGCTATGCAGGTGGAGGAGGAGGTTTCGGTGGTGGCAACGGCTATGGAGGTGCATATGGAGGACGAGGTGGTGGTGATGGTGGTGGCCATGGTGCTGGTGGCAAACATGGTGCTAGTACCATTGGAGAAGACAAACATGGTGGTGGTGCCGATGGCAAACATGGTGCTGGTGGCAAACATGGTGCTGGTGCCATTGGAGGTGGCGAACATGGTGGTGGTGCCGGAGGAGGCGGCGAACATGGTGGTGGTGCCATTGGAGGTTATTCTGCTGGAGGAGCAAGTGGTGGTGGGGTTGGCGGTGGAACTAGTGGTGGCTATGCAAGTGGTGCAGGCGGAGGAGTTTTCGGTGGTGGCAGCACCTATGGAGGAGCTTATGGAGCTGCATATTGGAGACAAGGTGGTGGTGAGAGCGGTGGTTATGTTCCTTGAAATTACCTTTACTACTTCTTTGTCACCAAAAGCTTCACCTCTTCTTACCTATATTAAATTATTATTAGTATTAATAAGGTGAAAAAAGCTAGGTAAAAAGTCGCTTTTGGTCCCTGTAGTTTGGCACTTCAACCATTTTTGACCTTATAGTTTCAATTCCGTCAACTTTGTCATTGTAGTTACATAATTGTAGTAATTTAAGGACCATTCTAATTTCCATCAAATTATTCTAACTTTTGTTATCTGTTGAGGCCCAAAAAATCCAGGGCTAGGCCCAAATATAATCTCGGCCCAATGCTATACCTTATCGAGAAGAAACTCGATTTGGGCACGCGAAAGTTCGTCATATGCGCTTGCACACATGCCACGCCAAGCAAATAAGCAACATGCCACACTACAAGCTTAAGTGGGCCCAAGCCACGCGAATGCCTGGGGCTTGCTGAGCGGGTTGTGGTATGGATGGTTACGAGTATTCACGAGGCCCATTGATGGTCCAAGGAGTGGAAGTTTTGGGCTACTTGGGAGCACCAAAACTCAAGCCCATTCCTTGAGCCCAAACATATGGGTAAGCATGAGAGAGAAAACCCAATAGCTTAGGAAAATATCCAATGGCCTGCAAACACTTGGAAAAGTCCCACATCAGGCAAAATATCCAACACCTTGATCAAATAGGTTGTTTTCCAGCAGCTTGAGCAAACTCACAGGCCGCTGGAAATAAAATACCAATAGCCCAGCCCAGCATCGTGGAAAATATCCAACATATTTGTTAAAACCAGATCAAAGCCAAACCATCAAAACCAAGCAAACCCATGTGCTGATGAAAGTAAATCACTTTTTGACCAACACCCTTACCCATTCTTTCCTCTTCAAGCTTTGGTGAGAGAACAAGAAGAAAAAGTGGGTGGCTCCC